TGCTTTTTGGTTCCTATTTTGGCACATTCATTATCGGCGATATAGTCTTTAAGTTCATCAAGAACAGCAAATGCAGCGTCATGTGAGCTTTAAATACCAGGAGCCTCGTGCCCCGACATTATAAGAGTGAAAAATAAGAAGAAAAGTGAAGAACGCTTATTGGTTAAACAATACGCTGAGAGGCTGACTCGAACCCCGAACGGTTAAGAGGAACGCCGAAAAATTTAACTCCGCGCCGAGAAAATACGATACGCTGATCAGCTACAGCAAACGCCGAGCGGTTGTAGCTTCCGCCGAAAAATGCAACGGCACAACCGAAAATACTAACCGCCGGTCGGCTATAAACACGCCGTTCGGCTAGCACAAAACGAGGTGGAAGAACAAAGGCCTTTGTGTGAAACAAAAACTCGCGTGTCGATGGCGGCGTTAATAAAATAGCTCGAATAAAAAGTAACGAACCATAAAAAACGGGACGTGAGGCGCTACCATCCACAGTGACTGCGCCCCTAAAAAAAATAAAAAAAAAAAAAGAAGCCTGTTAAGCTTGTAGATGGTCCCGTAATAAAGGACACAACCGTCGCCCTATTAAGAGGACCCGTGGACGGAAATTAATAAATAATATAGTGAAGTAACCAGAAAAATGTCCCGAGTTAAACAAGACAACCGGCGAAAACCGTTTAAATCCCTAGTTACAATCAAACGAAGTTGACCACGTGGCTTCAACCAAATAAAGCGATAACTTGCAAAAAATAGGTCATTTTGAAAAAAAAATTAACGGCGTTTAACAGCGCACGTTGTAAGTAATAAACGATGTAAAAAACGTTTACGCGTGACAAGTTTTTATCGAAATATCTGACGACTAAAACAGAGCACAAAAACCACCGTGGCCGACCCATAAGCTCCCCCTATCGCAGTCCCCTGGTACTGACTGTGTACATGTTCCCCTGATATTATCTTATCGAAGATATGTTGGTATTATATCAAGAAAAGTACAGTGGTACCCTGGAATACGAACGCTCTAGCATACGAAATTTTCAGGATACGATATGAAATTCGAACATATTTTTGCTCCACGATACGAACAAAAACTCACCATACGACTTTACATTAGTTCGCAGCGCCATTTTTTATTTACTTCTGTTCATCGGTCTCACTTCGCGTGTTTGCTTCATCGTGGAAGGATCTCGCTCGATAAAGGAAATCTCGAGCTATTATCAGAAAGTGGCTGATTTTATTGAAAAGAAATATCCCTGAAAGGTATCACACTGGCCGTATTGCTGCTCAGTTTAATGAAATTTGCCTAAGTCATTTTAGAAACATTTTAAAAAGTAGGCAAAGCCAAACCTCTTTAAATAAATATTTTACCAAAGCGACCTCTATTCAGTGAAAGTGTTGGTGAAAGTGAAGGAAATAAAGCAAAAAGCAGAGAATAAAAAATTAAAAATATATATATAAAAGAGAAAAGATTACAAAATTAGTTTTAAGTTATTTTTAAGTTATTGTTACATTATGTTATGTAAGTAAAGTTTTAGTATCATTTCCCTTCTTCCTCTCCTCCGCCACCAGTTTACACCTCCACCGTCGTCTATCTTCAAAGGTAAAGTGAAAATAAAACTACATTTTTTAAATCAATTATTATTCTACTAGCTGCAAGGACCTGCTTCGCTGGGTTTTTATTTGTTCGTACATTTGTATATAATACAGTTTTTGTTTTTTATGTATAAAAGACTGTTTTTCTAAGTAATCTAGAATCTAGCTGCAAGGACCCGCTTCGCTGGGCAAAAAGTAACGATAGTGAAGATTAAGATAATTACATTATAGCCAATCTTACCCATTTTCACAGAATGCAAGAATTAGTCCCCCGTTTCCAGACTAATTAGAGACCTGGTACCGATTCTATTTCTGAACGTCTCCTGTTCACGTCCAGTCAAACGAACTATTTTCAACGTTTCTGGAACGTTTACAATCGTTCTACAATCGAACCTACATTCGAATTTTATGTTCGAATTAAATTTGAACAAATTCGAAATAGAAAACCACTTTTAACCACTTTCAGCCCCATATCTCCCGCACCCTTAAGTTATAGCTATCGAGACGCAACCCCCATAGTGCACGAAT